CTCCATCTGGATCTGAGCGCCGGACTCTGAGACAATGAGTTAGGGGTCGTCTCTAAACTATACTGCTGGGGGGGAAACGTACAGTGTTCAGGAGTGTAAATGATTAAGACTTAATGTTTTTATGTTGAATCCTCCAGGCAGGTGATGTGCTTTAGCAAAGATCATGAAATGTTTAGAATTGGTTTTTTTTATTATTTTATTTTTATTTTATGTAACTTAAGTTATATTTGCAAGAATGTCTAAATGTTATAAATCTTTTCCACACTAATAAAATTCTGATAAAAAAAAATCAAACTCCTTTTTTCTCTTGCTCTTTTGTTAGTCTAAAAGTACTTGAATTATAGTGTATATATAGTGACTCTAAAAATACTGGAATCTGTCTATATATCCACCATGTTGATTAAAAAAAAACCCAAATACCATTGACTCATTGTGATTGTTGTTATTATTTCACTTTTTAGTCTACGGGTTGAAGTTGTTTCTATTATCAATAAAAACTATTTGGTTCTTGGCCACAGTAGCTTCCTTGAACTATGAAACAAATAAGCCCTTAAGTGGCATAAACACCTGCTAACCAACATATTACAGTTGAAATGTAGGAATACTTTGAAGTACCGGATGAAATTATCGCTCTGAAATGATGGAATAAGATTGATTTACCCTCTGTTTACTAACAATAGAAATAATAATTACAATTATTAGTGAGCAATGAACTTATTGGACCTAAACTCAGCTGGGTCATTTTAAGTTCAGTGTCATTCTGTGAGCCAAATGAACTGGTTGAGTGAAACAAGGCAACAAATCCCACAGTGAGTTTCATGGAAGCGTGCTGTGAACTGCTGGTCAAACACCAGCTTGATTGTGTTGCTCATAATATGCACTTTTTAAATGCTGTGCAGGATTAAAGCTGCCCTCACAAATCGACTTCCCCACCTCTTAATACCGAACACACATTTGCTTTCTTCAGTATCTGATACTTGATGTTTTTGCAGGTTTATTTGAGAGAAATTGTAACCAGTTATAGTATTTCATTAATGTAATGTTTTTACAATTTTAACAGTGTTTTTACTTAACTGTAATTCACACTGGTCAGAGTAGGCAGAAAATCAAGTTGGGCTCCTTTGACCTACTTTTGTTGTCATAACATTCCTCTAAGCCATATAAATAAAATAAATAGGCATAATTTTTATTCAATGAATTTAATCATTTCTGCAGCAAATGTAGCACTTCAAAAATTTCTTCTTTTCTTCAAAATGTTTAGAAATTTTTCTCTCTGCTCTCATACATTTGATTGTCAATCTCTGCTTCACACTTACCATTGTCCTGTTTTAATTGCTCTTTTCTTCACTGCCAGTAGAATAGAAGAACCCTTTTCATTTCTCATGATCGAACCAAGGCGCATTCCTCAAAAGAAACTTGCACAGAGTCACAGTAAAATTCACTAGAACAAAATATGTTGAGACATTGTTGTTATTGGGGGCAAGGCAGTTAGCCATGTCAGTGGAAATTGTCCTCATGTAGTCCTGTTTATTCATATCACATTAAAAACTGATTTATTATTAAACAAATAAGTGCAAATATCCTGGGATATCAAGCTACTATACATAGGCATTTACTACTATACCCCTCCGAAATCCATGAAAGAGACCACTGCCACACCGGGATGTAAAGACATATTTTGAGGGGCCATTGATAAATAAAAGAAAAGCTTAGAGTTTCAACACACTGACCATATACCACCTCAAACGATCTCAGTGTGATATGGTGTACAATTGTCTGATTAAAGAGCACCAACATAAAAAAAAAAACAACTATAAATCACCCACAGAATAATAAGTATTAACTTTCATCCTGTTCACCCATAGAGAAAAACAAAGAGGTAAAGTGCAAAGGTCCTCCCTAAGTCATTCATTAAAAGGAATGAAGACTGACACTGAAGGCTGTTTGCCAAGCTTTCTTACAATAACAGTAACAATAGTATGAATTATATTTATTTGGTCAAGGGGACCTTCAGCTGAACAGCTTGAGCCCCCATGGCGACTGTGTTCGGCATGTCGATGCTACAACATGTAGTGAAAGTAATAGGGGTTGTATGATGTAAAAACATTGATATTAACACCAGCCTGTAATTTCTTTGCCATAACATGAAGAGTAAGCCAAAGATATTTCATTCTTCTGCCAAGTAATGTACTACTACACTTTTAGACTTGACATTGAGATATGGATGGCCCAAAAACCAAGCTAAAAACTACTTTGACAATTTTACCTCATTAAATTGTTTCTACATTGGATTTTGTTGTTCAACCGGGCATATGGCCCATGTTTCACATTTTCATTCACCTCTCCCCTTTTTTTATTGCCCTTTGTGTTGTTCTTGGCAAATCTGCATGTGCAAGTTATAATTACAAAACTAACAGTGCTTGGCTACCTTTCTGACCTACAGTGAAGCATCTATTAGGTATATCATAGTCAACTGTCATTGTGCTGGTAATGTTTTTACTGTTACCATAGTAACAGCCAGCATAGGGCTGTTTCCTGTTGGTGGTGTTCCTTTGGCTACTATGAAAACAAAAAATTGTGCCACCTTTCCATGCTGATCTAATGGTTTGAGTGGATAGCCTACATGCAATCGAGGGTCTAATGACAGAAGTATGTATGTTGTACACATTGTAAAACACTGTGACAACATTTTAAAATTACATGAACAAAATTGTAATGTATTTGTGGAGATCAGCAATGTAGATTAAGCAATATGAATTGCCAAGGCTGGATTATCAACTGGGTAAAGGGCCCGGGTTCATTGTGTTTTTGGTGATTAGATTATTTGGGAATTTGCACCATAAAATACAATAATCAGCTGAGTTCTGCATTATAACATAATTCTATTTGGTGATGGCCCCCTGTGTCAAAATCTAGTCCCACAACCTCAATTGTGCTTATGTGGTGCATATTCCTAAGTAAAGTTGTGTTTGAGCAAATTAACACAAACTAAATAACATGAAGAAAACCAACCAGGTTGTTAGGTGTCTGTTTCTGTAGCTCTGAGCAAAAAACAACAACAATTAAATCACCATATACAGTGTGCCATATGCACGACTTGGCTGCAACAGGGCCTCATCATAAAATGTTCTACCCAGAGCCCCAGTCAGGTTAATCCATGTAGCATATGCTTCATACACAAGTATATTCTACACACATACACAGTATATGCTGTGTGCCTGCTATCACTGAAATTATAGGTATGCTCTGGTCGTAATAACAAAGAGATTTATTACAAACAACATAATCATTAAATCTAAATCAATCATTTGAATGTTAAACCAAGACCTCTGCTCTCTGTTGCCAATAATACAACTCTGGGGTAAAATAAATGAAGCTTCTAGAATTGATTGTGAAAACTGACCAAATTGAAAATCCATTCTTGCAGAAATGTGATTATTTACATGAACATGAAAATATTAAGTGGCACACGATAAAACCATTGTCACAGAATATGCTGTAAAGATACCTTGGTAGAAGAAAGGACATTTGTTTGTCTCTACTAGAACTTATAGATAGATTTGGTCTGTGAACAAATTTAAAAAGAGCATCTAAAACATCGTGTTCCCTGAATATCAGCCTCACACTGGCTCCATCTTATCGACAGAGATGAACTGTAGTGATAACAGAGTGCAATCACACACATGCTTCTTCTGTTCACATCATCAGCTCTTCCAGCTCACTTCCACATCCCTCTGATTTGTTTGATTTGCCTAAGTAGTGACTCACCAACCCGTCTGCATTCACTGGATGCACAAAGTCAAGTTTCTTGATCTAGATTTGGCAGTTTAATGTAATACAACCCTTTTCAAACACTATCATTCACATATTAAAATTAGAAATAAAGAAGTAGGCCTCGGACATGAGAACAGTGTAAATTATTTAACATGAAAAACTGTTAGTTTTTTTAAATCTGAACACATTGTGGGACTGGTAAAATATAAATTCTAGCACCATTGAACTTGAACTGTTCTTCACAACAGGATTGCAGGCATAAGGGTTTTAATGGTAGACCCAATTGTGCTGTAAATCTTTGTCTCTAGAGACTGATAGATGCACTTAGTGTGTTTGTTCCAAATATTGAATCAATACAAATGCATTTCACACGTCTCAAATTTATGGTTGCTTTCCCACAGGATTTTGGTGCTCTTTGGCTAATGGCATTAAAAGAAGTGCTACAGTACATCATAGAAAATATAAGTGTAAAAAGACTGTTTTCATAGAAGAAACACAAAATCCTTCTGGAGTTTGACAGAAGGATATAAGTGGTTGTCATGCAAACACATCTCTGTTTTTGTTCACAGTGGGAAAAGGTGTGATTCAGACATACAGCCACATATGTGTGTGTAAATAAATAAATATATATATAACCGGCAACCCAGCTAGAGCCGGTGTCTGCTTGAGGTTTCTGCCTCTTAAAAGGACGTTTTTCCTCGCCGCTATGGCCAATTCCTTGCTCATAGTGGGAACTGTTGGGCCTCTGTAAATAATTTTATAAGAACAACGGTCTAGACCTGCTCTATTTGAAAATTGTCCTATGGTAACTTTTATTATGAATTGGCACTATACAAATAAAATGTAACTGACTACATATATATATACACAGCTATATGCACTCATCTATTATACTTGATGATGATAATAAAGAGTTGACAAAGCACAAACAGGTCAATTGAGTCCAGAAGATTTCTATAGATTATTGTTATGATGGTGATATTAATGTGTTAAAAAGTCAGTGAAATAAAATTAGCCTGCATGTTTAAAATCTAAAAAAAAAAAAGGGTGAAATAAAGGTACAGTTGATCTCATATCAACCCTCCCTGGGGTGAAAGCTCAGACACTTGGAATGACATTATAGAGGAAAACTTATATATATATATATATTATATATATATATATATATATATATATATAAAAGAAATACTCACAGATGCATGACAGTGCTTCTAAAATGTTATTATATTTCAGGACCATACTGTATCATGTCACATCTCTGGTTCTATCTATTGATAGTGCACAAAAATAAATAAATAAAAAAGATTTTCTTTAAAAACACATTTCCTTTACCAGCCCCTTACTCCATTCTGGACCAGGGCCACGACAGTAGATTCATGCTCCCGTTTCCGAGGGTGAAAGATCAAATTCTTTTGAGTTTAAAGGACTCTGGTCCTAGACTCATTTTATTATCGTTAGCATAACATAGACAAAATAAATAACATCAAATTCAAACATTATCCTCAACTGTTGCCATGAGTCTGAATCGGAGGGCAGTAAGTTACAAAAATAAGATCTAAGAACAAACAGAAATAAATGATGCTCAAAATACATTTACAGTTTAATCTAAAGCTCACCCTTGCAAGGATGTTTAATTTAATTTAATTGATGCAACAGTTTTCCTGTTCTTATCTGTGAATATCAACAGCATTTAGATACCTATGATTTTGTTCTGCTAGGCTTTGTCACAAACGAATGTTCAGAATATTTTTGAAGACTCGTTTGAAGTTCCCATTGCAGAGCGGGTATATAAAAGGGTTGAGAGTGGAGTTGATGTAACCTAACCATATGGTAAACATGTGTAGGTCATGGTGCACGCATTCTTTACAGAACGCCATGACCATGAAAGCAATGAAGTACGGTATCCAACACAACAAGAAAGCAGCAATTATAAAGCCCAACTGCTTGGCTGCCTTATGCTCCTTATGGATCCTCAGACTTTGGATACGCTGACGTGATTGGTCAATAAACTTTTGCCAAGTCTGTCTCAGGGTCACCGCATTAGCCGGGTCCAGTTTGTCATCTTCAACCCCTTCCTCAGTCCAAGGCAGAGCCTGACTGGGGTCATAATTGTTGTAGAGCACAGAGGTATATCTCTGCATGTCTGAAACCTGACTGATATCACAGACACCGCTCACTGAGTTTGGCACTGTGACGTGACATTCATTTAAAGATGCCTGAAGTTTGTTCTCGTTATTCCCCTCTGAGCAAATTACGTCCTGTGGCACCGAAGGTCGACTCAGGGGAATCTCAATGTCTGACTGCTTCTCCTCAGGAGACAAGGAGCACCTTTTGGCCTTTTTTGCCATTCTGAGTCGTTTTGTTGTCATGGCAAGAAATGACGTCTGCTGGCACTTTACACCAATTTTTCTGTGAGATCTAGATGAAGCGGTTTTAGTTTTATTGCCATCCTCAAGGGAATATGTCTGATCTAGGGTGTTCTGGTCCAACAGCCGTTGTTTTTTAGAGAGTGTCAGTGGAACCTCACATTCCCTCTTGGGTGATTTGGAGTCACTTTTCACGGGTGTTTGAGCATTTTGTCCATTCTCATTTTCCCCAAATGAATCTGTTGGATGAATGATTCTCTCTCTGTCCCTCAGATGTTGCCTTACTGCCAAGTAGATGTGTGTGTAAAACCAAAGCATCAAAATTGAGGGTACATAGAAGTTGAAGACAGCAGTAATAACCTTAAACCATGTGACAAAGCGGAAATCTGTGTCACACTTGTTCTCCTCCTCGGGTTTAAGGTCTACATGAGTAAAAGACCTCCATCCTAAAATAGGAATAATCCACATCATCGACAGCAGCCAGGCACCCGAAATCATCACGCTGGCTTTTCCCCGCGTGCGATATTTCAGGTACTTAAGCGGCTGTCTGACAGAGCGATACCGATCCAAACACAGGATAAACAAGCTGAAAATTGAGGCTGTGCTAGCCACGTAGTCCATAATGAGCCAAAACTGGCAGACAGCCCGCCCCAGCTTCCATTCATCCTCCAACAAATACACCAAATTTAGAGGCATAACTGTGGTCCCCACGATTAGATCTGCCACAGACAGGCTGACAATGTAGAGGTTCCCAACAGTGTGGAGGCTCTTCTCTTTCTTCACGGCGTAGAGGACGAGCAGGTTCATTATGACTGTGAGGAGAGAAAGAAGTCCCAGAAAGACCCCCAGCAGGGCATTGTGAAAGCGCTCATGCAGGGTCAGGGTGTGATTGCTCCTCAGTGAATCACCATCGGGGAGGCCGCTCCAGCTGTTGTTGCTGTTATTGAGGTGGAGAGGGTCTGTGAAAGGTGACAGACCAGATTCCATCATAGTAGGTGAGATGGTCACCTCTAGATCCAGTCACATCATGAAAAATTGGAGGCAAGGGTGTCTGTTAGCCAACTCGTGGAACAGTAGGTTTAAACCTAGTGTGGAAGGTGTATTTACTGAGTTTAGATCCAACAATTACAGCATGACGACCAGTGGACCTTTAGGTTGAATCCTTTACTGGAAAAGGTGTTCTGTGTTGTCTATTAGTCCATTAATTATATAAATCCAGTCTGTTATTACCTGGAAAACATAAAGAAAAAACATTAAAATGTGTCAAAACTCAAAAATGTCTTTCACTTATTGTTACTTTACTTGAATGTCTGACCTTCACTGTACAGAATGATGTATGTGTAGAGTTTGACATAAGAAGACTGTTTTCACATTCATCTGGAAAAGGAGGAAAGTTTCTCTATGCTCGCCTTGGATCTTATATGCACGTGTGAGCATAGTTTTATGACAAAATGACTAGGAAGCTAATCCTGATTCAATATGCAACTTACACAAGTGTGATGTGGAAACGTGAAGTTTCTGGTGTCTAGCAGTTGAAATGAAAATGAAAAATATTTGCCTATTGAGACATTCCAGATTTTTTAATAAGGAAGAAAGGGTATATTGTTGTGAAAGAAGTATTCAGATCCTTTAGTTAAACCTAGGGAGTTCTTAACTGATTATGCAACAGTCTCAGTTTATGCCTCTATATAACCTACATAAGAACACTAGATCATCAGCAATTAGGCCCCTCCAAAGGGTCACAGATAAATCTGAAGGGTTTTAAGATTAATGGGCTAGTAACAAAGAAAAAACTAAAGTTCTTCTTTATATCAAAACAATTCTCAAAATAAAACCATATATCTTTAGTTCAACTGCTAACAACTCAGTGACATCTGAAATGTGATCTTGCACCCCAACTACATAATGTGCTTGTTCCACAATATAGTACATGTATGTAAAATCTTAATCTGAGAAGTAACTACTACTACTACAGCTGACAGATAAATGTAGTGGAGTAAAAAGTGAAATATTTTCATAAATGTAGTATAAAGAAATACTCAAGTAAAGTACTAAATTTGACTTACACACAGTACTTGAGTAAATGCAATTAGTTAGTGTCCAGCACAGTCTAATTGTGATGGGAAAAACCCAAATTATTTTGGGGTCAGATGCAAGTGCCTGTATATAGAATGGTTTAGATACACAGTATTAATATGCTAAAAGCTCTCTTGCTCTTTCTTTTTCACTGTCCAGCTGGCTTTCTTCAACACTCACATAAGGGGAGGGTGGCAAATCCCATCAACGACACAGCAGTAGACAAACTGTGTGATTGGAGGAAAGGAAGCACTGACATGCTGCCGGTGTTGTATGATGGAATCTTTCTCTTGATATTTATAAAATCCTATACACTACGCAATGTTTGATGAAATGAAATGAGTCTGCAAAGCACAGCAGGACGTCTCATATTAAAACATACCAATATGCTGCTGGAAAAGCACTTATCTCGACTTTTTGGTATTGATTTTTAAGAGAGTAGACTGAAATAAACCCGTTGCCATGGAGGCAGGTGGGAGTTTCTGTACATGGCTTGTGCAGACTTGTCTTTCCGTGATTAATCTGTGAATTAAAATACGTCATTTGGCATTTTTAGGACCCTCAGACTCACAAGTTGAAAACATTACGCACATATTTTTTTTCTCCAGCAAAAGAAAATCATCATGCCAGTATTTTGCCAATAAGGCCATCACATCCCACTCATATAATTAATCACAACAAAAGAAACTAGGAGATTCAAGGTGATGGACTCAATGATACCAGTGTACATGTAAATCAAAATCATGTCTGGAGACAGAGCAAACCCACTATATGAATGAATAAATTAATAAAAATATCAACAAAAACTTTCAGAATATGGACATGTGAGGTTTAGCATGTCCTCAGAAAGAAAAATATTTCCATATGTAAACAAATGTGAAATCTAAGTCTTAAGCATTCAAAACAGTGAGAGGGAGGAAGGAAACATGTTGCTAATTAACTAAGCAGAATTAATTCATTAATTCTAGTTTCTTCCCTTGTTGTCCAACAGATATGACTACATATTTTTTTTTGTCTGTATGTCTGTATATCTGTGCCTGCTTACTCACTAGTGACACACACTCAGGAGGAGGAAGGGGGAGAAAAAAGCTCACCGGTGTTTAGTAATTTGTAGGAGAAAAAAAAAAAACACAACAGTAGTGGGGGCTGAAAGGTTTTAGCAGAGCATAGTCAGGAACTGACTCATTCTAACTGTCATCGTGGTTGTGATATTAAAAAGGTCCAATATTGGAAAAATGAAAGATTTGTTTGCTCTCATTGGCCCCATGTTTACATCCCCTTGCCTCCACCAATTCAATAAATGAATTAGACTGAGAGTATTGGAGACTACTGAAGCACTGTCCTGCATGATGAATCCAGGACAGTGTTCATATATTTTTTTTTTACAACATATTCCAACAGTAAAAGCTTCAGATAGGTGATAAAGTCGTTTTATTGGCACATTTGAAACCAGTTCCTCATTTACATACAGTATTATACATGCAAGCTGTCCTTCACATAGGAAGCTTTAATTTAAGACACTCAATTAACAGACATTTGGATGATTTATCATTAGCTCCAACCTCTTTGGCTTTGAATCTGAATCTGAGCTGAAATGTGTGATTGTAAACATTTTTTCTCGCTTTGTTTATAGCCTCTGTGTTTATACATTAACTGCCTCCGCAACACAAATATTTAAGAACCTTATTACTCACAGAATTAACAAAGAATAACAAGATAAAGAGGGACGGATAGCAGAATAAAAAAAACGCAAAACTGCTCCGTGTTTTCCGCATGTGAGCCGCGCACATTTCTTATCGCACAGAAAAGGACAGGATATTTATCCAACACTAATTGTCCAATATGATTATCAGTAATGACCACTGCCTCTCTAAATTGCATTACAAAAGAGCGGGAACACAGATTAATCGTGCTATCTTTTGCCCTGTTGAGACCTGATGGAGCCTATCTATCAAAATGAATAATGGCCCTGATGCGAAATACTACAAGTCGGTGAGCAGAGAACCACCTGTTGAGCCGCTCGCATGAGAACTTTCAGGCTTTTTAGCACAACCCACAAACACATGCATGCCCATATAAACTGCTTTTGTCAGACGCCATCAAAAAGTTGATCAGTTCGAATATGTGAACTAGTGCAGGCTATATGCGTCCGTCCAGTGAGAGGAGACCGTTTCAGACTTACCGGTGATGTGCGTGCATTTCAGGGAAAGTCGGCTTAATTCCAGCCTGTATTCCGGGTCAAAATCAGAAAACGAGTGAAGGACAGAGGTTGGAATTGGAAATAAAAAGTCTTCCTCCCTCCCTCCCTCTCTCTCATCCCCTCTCTCCCTCCCTCTCTCTCTCCCCCCCCTCTCTGACTTCGGAGTTTACCTGACATGTAGCTGAACAATCGCGGCCATAAAGATAACCTTGTTACTGGCAGGGGGGTTTTCACCTGATGGAGTGGCGCATTTATGGTATGATTCACTGAACAGTTACACGCACACTGTGAGCTGGGGCGTGTAACTTCCTCCATGTCATTAACCCAGTGAAATCTGGACATTATTCAGATGGGAAAAAAAGCTCCTGGAAGTCGGTAAATACTAAAGTTTGAATCATCTCTTTAAATCTTTTAATTTGCATTTACTTGCCGAGCCATTTAATGTAAATCAGCTATCAGAGAGAGGTGAGGGTGCGACCTATATGGAGGTAAAATGGGGACAGCAATAAAAAGGGTCCATGGTAACATCGTGAATTCCTCCAATCACAGCACACCAACTAGACTGATGCGGACAAGCAGTGGCTGTTGTCTTCCTGCTGTTTTTTTTAAAAAGCCCAAGTACTGTTAAGGGCATCTGCATGCTGACTTGGTGTCACCGGGTTCACTCAAAAAGCCTGATACTGAAGCATTTAGTGGATTTTTGGTTGCTTAGCATATTATTTCACTTGATTCCTCACCTGAAGAGCCAGTCTCTCAAGCTATGGCTCACCAGCTGTCTTAGGGCAGCATGTCCACCCACACGCCCATATGTGTCTCACCGAAAACCAGTGTTTCGGTTTGTACTGAACATAAACCTGACTGGTTTAACTTGAGTGTATGCCACCTGTCATATCTTAGCTTTAATAAAAATAGATATTTTTTAGGTGTGAATCAGATGTATTTCCTTTGAAGAACCCCCCCCCCCCCCAAAAAAATGCATATTTTATGTTTCAAAGTAGCAGTGTTACATAAGTACAGAGAAAGTGAAAGTTTGAATGTAGGAAGGGTTGTTGCTACAATCTACATCTTTTTATTGCTGCTTGTTTTATAACAGTTATAACTGTTTTATTAAGTTTTAATACACCTGTCCCTGATCCTGAAACTCATATTTGTTTATAGCCTACATGTTTTTATGTATATATAAATTCCCTGCCGTTCACCACAGGGTTTTGTTTCGAATCTCTTATTTACGGTGGCCGACAAGGGCAAATGTGTCGCAAACGGCAAAACGCTACAAACACGAGAATGATGCAAATCCAAAAACACACAAACACATAAAACAAATCCAAAAGAAAAATGCTGCAATCACAGAAACGAAGCAGAAGCAAAAACTTACAACCCACAAAACAACTGCAAGAGAGAAACGCTGCAAATTCGCTTGACAAAACGGAAGTGCGCCAGGCCACTAGGGGGACCCGACCTGAGGGATGGACCAGTCCTGTGGGACTAGACCCGAAAGACATGAAGAAGAAGAAGAAGAAGAAGCAAGTTGGCTACGTTTTGGAGAGGAGAGTAAAAAGGTACGTTTTCCTTTATGTCTTTTTTTAAACACTTGGCCGTTATCTTTTATAATATTATAATATTATAATTATATTATAATAATATAATATTAAAGAAGAATATTATAATAATACTATAATAATTATGATAATATTATTAAATATATATATAATATTAAAAAATATTAAATAGTATTAAATAATATAATTATAATAATGTAATATTCTTCTTCTTCTTCTTCTTCTTCTTCTTCTTCTTCTTCATGTCTGGTCCCACAGGACTGGTCCATCCCTGAGGTCGGGTCCCCCTAGTGGCCTGGCGCACTTCCGTTTTGTCGAGCGATTCTCTCTTGCAGTTGTTTTGTGGGTTTGTAAGTGTTTGCTTCTGCTTCGTTTCTGTGATTGCAGCATTTTTCTGTTTGATTTGTTTTATGTGTTTGTGTGTTTTTGGATTCACATCATTCCTGCGATTGTAGCGCTTTGCCGCTTGCGGCGCCTTTTGCCCTTGTCGGCCACCGTACTTATTAACTAGAAGTAGAATTATAGCCCACTTCTACTGTATATAACTACATTTGACTTGAAACACATTTTTATGCACACTTATACCAAAAAGCGTGACTGCAGCTTTCAAATAATACAAACATACTTATCTGTCAAGGGCTAATAATGCCAAGCTTTAGCTGTTACTTTCGCAGTCAACATGGTCCTGAGCAGATGATATGACCATCACACATACACAGGAAGAGCTCTGACCAAATATCAAGCACGTTTGATAACATTAAGCACATCTCACACCAGCAGGGTGATGAGGATCCAAATGACCCCACTAGTGTGCTGATTCTGAGAACTAGTCTGGGTTTCATTTGGGACTCCTCTGGGCTTTTTGACCTGTTGTGAAATGCTACTTGGCCAAAGGGAGTTCTGGTGTTTGTGACCTGACGGCAGCAAGGGGACTGTAGGGGAAAGGAAAACTCAAGTGGTGTTTATTTTGTTGCTATCTCTAACCCTAACTCTTGCAAGTAGATCTCCTCCTGACATTAATAAGATATATATATATACACAGCAGCACCACCCGCTGTGAAACTCCGCAGCGGAGGAGACAGTGGCAAGTACTGCAAAGCTGTAGAGACGACAGAACTTAACACTCAGCAGAATACAGACTGTTTATTCAGGTAATTTGGGTGCCTCGCTGGAGAGAAAAACTCCCTCCAGGCAGCGGTTTTACTCCGTAGAGGCACAACCCTGTCCTGTCTCCTTGTCAGTTAGTGCATCTGATCACACAATAACTATCCGGCATTTAAAAACTTGGTCTGTGTGGACAATCACTACCGTTAAGTTAGCAGGTGGGCAGCAGAAGAAAGCCTTGTTTTACCCTCCAAGTGGGTGTTCCAATGAGGGTGTGACGTCACGTGAAAACTATGAATAGGGATGACGCTTTTTTCTCAGTGGTGTCATACATTTGTATGTGTTTATAGATTATTTATTCGAATTCATTAGAAGAAATTGCTTTTTAATTGATTTACAAACTATTTGTGATGTCACAAATCATGCTCATAGGCCCCACTTCTTAACAAGATTTTCAGTGAGCACAGAGAAACTTTCCACTCGTAGGAACAAGAAGGAAAACATATTTGTGTGTGGAGGGCAGGGGGACTCTAATGTATATTGATAATGAGGTGACTTGAGATACACTTTGAAAGTTAATGTGTTATGAAGGGCAACAATTCTTCCAGCTGTGTGAGCTGTGAGAACTATGATACAATTTTTGGTCTGTATGCAAGCAGCAGATCAAAAAATGCAGACATTGAAAAATAAACACTTTGACCTAATTCTGGTGCTACAAGAAAGGTCACAGACACTAAAGTCAATAGATTTCCCGATTTTTGGAGTGTGACTGTGTATATTGGATTTTATGCCACTAAGGTCTCAGTAAGGAAACTGAGAGTAGCTGCAGTTTGTCATAATTCTGTCTTAGCCTATTACTTTGAGATCAGATTTAATTTTTCCATTATCTTGAGATAACAAATGAGTAGTTTTACTGCCTGATTATGACAAACGTGTAAAAACTCTGTAGTATAAATATAAACTCCAGGAGATAATCTAACTTTTCTAACATTTAAACGAGACGCAATTGTTGAAATCACACCCAAATGTAATATTTTAAACATTATATAAAAGGAGAATACTTGAGCACATTAAACATCATATGTTCTGAAATAATTGAATTAGAAATAACATTTCATCATATGCATCATATACTTATCAAAATATATATAATTTATAACATATGTCAAAATATTTACATGAGCTGATCCCCAGTGACAACAAAAAGGAGCTCTGATGATATTATGTACAGTAAAGGGTGCTCTAATGAATTGTCTGAAGTCTAACTTACTCAGTAAAGTTGTTTTGTAATATTTAATCAAATTGTGCAAACCAGTATTTGGTATATAAGCATGCAGTGAACAGTCATTACTTTCAAATGAACAATTACAACATGTGATATTTTTTGTTTACACACTTTTTATCAAGTGACCAAACTTTCACACTTAGGTCATGTAAGGACCCCTGAACCAGTTCTACTGGCTGAACAAGACTACGAGATGCAGTGAAAAGCACCAAAAGTTAGTAACTGAAGATTATTATAGATTATTTTGTTACATATGTTATTCCCAAAGGTTGAGAACAAATGTTTGTGCTGATTTTATAAGTTTTATTGATGTCTGATGATGTTGTGTTTTTACTAAGCTTTTTATCCTTTTTCACTACTTCATGTTTTAGCCTTTAGCTTTCCCCTGTTCTAACATGTTGTGTATTATTGATTCATCCTTTTAATGGCTAATTTTACATCTGGCCAAGGGCAACAGTAGAAAATGTGCCTTTTGGCTAAAACTGACTAATTTACAGTGATGTTGATCAATGTACAGGTGTTTTCAGTTATTTTGGGAAGAGTAGACCTCCCTCAGGAACTGTGTGGGCATGTCTCAACACTCACTCTACTTGTTTGTTTGGTTGCACCTGTCGGGGTGAGACAAATGACCTCTTCTGGAGTGTGGAGATTGGTAACCATATAACAAACCCCTAATATCACTCTGCCCAACTTCAGCCTGAAAAGAGGTCAAAGTCATTCAGTATAACACCTTTTTTACTCACAGGCTGTGCTGCGAAAGCAACATGTCATCAGCACAACAGCGGCAGCTGTGAGTCTGCCGCCAGACAGCCGCAGACTTAAACCGTTTAAAGAAGCTCTGGGTCACTGTTACGTGCATGAAGTGTGAACCGTTATACAGCCAGTGTAGACAGCTGCATTGATTACGTAAAATGGAAAAGTTGCTGTTGAATGACTACAAATCATAGTTGAAAGATGTCTGGCGAAAACAGGATGTAGCAGAAAACACCTGCTCCTTTTCAAGCAGGAGAGTTATGACAATGAATTCTTGATGTTTATATCACTATCGCTATATCACTAACAAAATCATCAGATCAGTGTTACTACCATCCCTGCTCTCCCTGTCAGAAAAAGCTGCGGGTGAAGAGGTGATGAAAAGAAAGAAAGGAAGGAAGGAAGGAAGGAAGGAAGGAAGG